CTCTTATCCAAGAGTTGAGAGGTAGTAACTTGGGTTTTTGCCAGTGCTTTGTTTACTAGGGACCTGCTTGAGTAGGGGCTAAGGTGGAGCCATGCTAAGGCCTGACCAGTCAGGAAAAGCGAAGCCTCTTTGCTCCCAGGAACCATTCCTATATTTGGCTATAGTCATTCCAGGGAAGATGAATGTAACCTGCACGGTGATGTAAAAAACAGCTGTTTCCTCTCTGACCCAAGAAGAGCTGGCTCCAGAAGGTTGGGATCAATCCTGAATCATGTTTGTGCTGCATTTACTTTTACAAAAAAAAAAAAAAAATATATATATATATACACACATACAATAAATACACAACAAAAACCCTATTGGGTTTTCTAGTGGCGGTTAAAATAGTCCCACATACAGTCATCAGAAGATCAGGCATTCCTCACACCAATATGGGATAAACTCCTTGACTTCTAAGGGGTAGGAGTGCATCTTGCTGTTTATTTTAGAATCCTTCCCTCACCTTGTTTTGTGGCAGTGGAATGCCTCTTGATCACTTCCAAGTGTGTCTTTTCACTGATTTCTGAATTGTGTTCTAGTTGCTTGGCCCTGCCATGTGGGTCCAGTACTCATTTTGAACATAACTGTACTAATATTTTCTTCAAATCAGTATAATAAAGGAGTGATGTGCAATAAAAAAAAAAAAAAAAAAAAAAAAAAGAAGAAGGAATTCTTGGGTGCCTGTAGTCCCAGCTACTTGGGAGGCTGAGGCAAGAGATTTGGAGGTTGCTGTGACGTCATAGCACTCTACTGAGGGCGATGAAAGTGAGACTCTGTCTCTCTCTAAAAAAAAAAAAGAGTTACAAGAGACATTAAAGTTACATGAAACAAGACAAACACAGATAGATAAATACCACATAATCTCATTACATGTGGAATCTAAAAATGTTGGATTCACAAGCAGAGAGTAAGATGGTGGGGCTAGAACTGGGAGGCTCCAGGGAGAGACTGAGGAGATACTGGGCAAATGATACAAAAAAAATTTTTTTTTGAGACAGAGACTCAAGCTGTCACCCTGGGTAGAGTGCTGTGACATCACAGCTCACAGCAACCTCCAACTCCTGGGCTCAAGCAAGTCTCCTGCCTCAGCCTCCCAAGTAGCTGGGAC